CAAGACTATGCTCAAAAAAAACAAAACAAAAAGCATACACTCGTCATGAAGACATAAAAAATAATTACCAGACATCTTTTTTCTTTCTAAACGTTTTTTTGTAAAGTGGGATCCCACACTATGTTGCCTATAGGTTGGATCTCGAACCCCTGGGCTTTCTCAGGATTTCCTGCTTCAGCTTTAATCTGTCAAAAGTGTTGAGATTACTTAGGCCGTTGGACACGATTCCTCTTTGAATAAACTTTGGGGGCTGAGGCAGGAGGGACTGGCTGTAGTCACTTTTGTTTTTAGACAGGGTCTCACTCTGTCACCCACGCTGGAATGCAGAGGTGTGATCTCAGCTCACTGCAGGCCCTCTGGGTACCAGGTTCAAGTGATTCTCCATGCCTCAGCCTTCCTGAGCCAGCTGGGGACTATTAGGCGTTGTGCCACAAAGGCCTGCTAATTTTTATTTTTTTTAGTGGGAGCACAGGGTTTCCCAATGGCCAGGTTGGTCTCAACCTCCTGGCTACAGTGTTCCGCCTGCTTTGGCCTTCCCAAAATGCTGGGACTACAGGGTGTGGAGCCCCTGCGCCCGGGCCAATTAAAACTATATTTCAAAAACCATTGTGGTTGCAGCATGAGATATCGCCCTCTGCCTCCCTAACTTCTTGACTGGCTGTCCTCAGAAGGGGAAGGATCCTGAAACAGCTATTTTCTAATCTGCACTGACTTCAAGGCTGTACTGACAAGCTTTCTGCAAAAAAGTAATCTCTAGCCTGAGCCACACATTGACATCCCACACTCTTAGCAAGAAAAAAAAAAAATTAGCTGTGTGTATGGTGGCAAGCACTGGTAGTCCAATAACTCAAGAGACTGGAGGCAGAAAAATCGCTGGGCCAGGAGTTGGAGTTGGAGTGAACTATGATTGAGCCCTGCACTCGCCTGGGTGGGGTGACAGAGTGAGATCCTGTCTCGAAAAAAAAAAAAAAAGCCATAGAGAACATGTCTATAATCTAGGCTCCCACATACCTGAATCCCGTCCTGCTCTAGCCAAAGACCACATGTGACCACTAAGGCAACGTGTACACTGAAGAGAAACTCCAGCAAAGGAACACCGTTCTAGGAGTTACACTAGACTGGCGCCTAGTAAAACCTTTTCAAGTTTTCTCCATATCCTCATGAACTACTCTAGTCCGGCAGCCTCGACTGCGCCCAGGATGTCTTTAGTCTAGGCTCTGCAGGCCTGGGTGGTCTCCCCAATCCCACAGATGACAGCTTACCATTCTACTATGAGGAAGGCTGTCTCAGGTGAGCCAGGGCCTTGGTCCCAAAGGCATGGGCAGAAATGGAACACTGCCTGTCTCAAATCTGTTCAGGTCAGAGCGAAGGGAAGTGCTCCAGCCCCAACCTGGTAGCTGAAAGCAGGTGTCCTAAGGAAGGAGGGTGGTCAGGTCTTGTCTGCAGAGCAGAAGCCTCTGAGAAAAATCTTTCCTGCTCTGTCGCATGGAGGCCAGACAGAGGTGGTTGGTCTTGTGCCCACAGGAAGCGGATCTGAGTTACCTTTCCACTCAGGTTAGTTCAGAGGAAGAGGAACCTGTGGAGAGGATCCACCCACCCGAAAGCTCCGCCCCCAGTACTGCAGCCTTAACAGTCCTAGAATTGGACCAATTTATATCCGCACTGGGCCACAATACAGGCTCATATTTAAGGGAGCCAAGATCCAACAGATTTCACCACTGTAGCATATTCAAACTACCCTGATAAGTGGAACTCTATCTGAACAGCATAACTTCAACAGACAAAGTAGGCTCCCAACAACGTGTGAAAAACCGAAGCAGGGTAAACATTTCAGTGAAAGTCAGTGTGGCGCTGATTCACTTGACAGAAAGATGCAAACTGCGCATGTACAAAAACCTCTTTGAGTCCTTTATTAACGTCTGGAGATGTGTGGTACATACGATTAACAGCATCACACCAGCTACAGAAGTACAGAGAACCAAGAGAATGTACTTCAGAACAAGGATCTGAGAGCACCTTACGGTGTTGCCTGCTCTGAACCTCCACAAAAACCCAATTCTGACACACGCAAGACAGACGATGTAACAATTTCACTTGGGAATGGTTCCTTTAAAAAAATGACAAGAACTAATAGTTCAAACCCTTTAGAGTGTGAGATGCGGCAGCTCGCTTGGTGCCGTGGCACTGCTGTAAAAGGCCAACGTGGGCATTTGAAGGTCAGGCAGAAGAACCGAATGGGGTGGGTGGAAGAGGTTTTATTTTCAGTGTAGAGAGATAACAGATGGTCCGAGTGGATGCTTTCAGTCCAGGCTGAGTATGGGGCCTGCAGGAATCCACTAGGTAAATACAGTCTATGAACCGGGAGGCTGAACGACCCCAGCCAGCCATCCGTGTCATTGCTTCCAACTGGTGGACACTGACGCATCCGGAGTCACTTATGACACAGAGCAGGTTTAACAGGGGTGCCCCGAACGCAAGAAGGCGGCTCACTGTGTCCAGTCAGCTCTGATCCTTTCATGCCACTGGATGTCACGGGGCCCTCTGCTTTCACATGTGAACTAAGGAACACTTCCTTTATTTCAAAGTTCCACTTTGGAAAACCAAAACCCTCCCCCCACCCCCACCATCATTCTTCATCAATTTGCTTCCAAACTCCTGATTCTTCTGGGTCTAGACTTTTTCCTTTCGCTTCAATTTGGACACTTTTTTGACAGTCCCATTCTTGTTCAGAAGCTTCAGGACGCGGTCTTTATGATCTAAAACCTTAAGCATGGAGTCTCTGGCTTCACTGATTTGATCCATCACGAGTTTACACCTCTGCATATTTCCCTGAAACAGAAGACATCACATCATCAATCAGTGATCGTGAGGGCAGTACGGCTTTTAAAAAAACTGCTTGCCTTCGGGCAGAGGCCGCGTTGAGGCTTCCACATAGAGAAAACGTCTTCTTGTTTCTCAGCAGTGCAGGCTGAAGCACATGTTTTTAACTGAAGATATGAGGGATACGGGGGGCAACAGGAGAAGTAGGGCTTTACAGAAAGCAACTTCATAAAGTGGATGATCAGAAGGGAAGGGGCTCACTCAAACCTGTATCAGTTCATTTATTCGGTGGAGATCATCATCGGTTGCTGCTTTTTTCTTTGGGATAATCCCTTCCTGCAGGTTGGTAAGTCTTTCATAGACATCATGTTCTAGATTCGTCTGCAACACACAAAAGGGAGAATATCATGACCTCGGAAATATTTTTCAATGTCAACCCCAGGCAAATGAACCCACCTTGAATCACCTTTGTAAACTGTCTAAGAGTTGTTTGGGTGACAATGTCCTTTCTCCTAAGGACTAAGATACTAAGGTTTAAAAACAGTAAAGGGGCTGGGCGCGGTGGCTCACGCCTATAATCCCAGCACTTTGGGAGGTTGAGGCGGGTGGATCACCTGAGGTCCGGAGTTCGAGACCAGCCTGACCAATGTGGTGAAACCCCATCTCTATTAAGAATACAAAATTAGCCGGGCGTGGTGGTGCGTGCCTGTAATCCCAGTTACTCGGGAGGCTGAGGCAGAAGAATCGCTTGAACCCGGGAGGCAGAGGTTGCAGTGAGCTGAGATCGCACCATTGCACTCCAGCCTGGGCAACAAGAGTGAAATTCCATCTAAAAAACAAATAAATACAATACAATAAAATAAAGGCAGTAAAGGAAACGGATCAACAAAGATTGACATTATAATTTGCCATAGTTCAGAGCCTATCTTCAAGGATAACTTTCGAATACTCTGCCTTGAATCCACAATTCTTCTGAAACACAAGTCTCCAGGTTTCACAGAAGTGATTTCTGCTAAGTCAGAGGTAGCCAAGGTACTACATTTTTTAGATACTGACAACAGACAATGTTCTTCAGGTCACTGCTACTGAAAAGAAGGAAAAACTTGATGAGGTTGTTGCCTCCTCTTCACCCAGCTGGTGAAGGAGGGATTCTTGCCCTAGCGTTATAGAAATGGCCAAACATATAAGATCCAACACTGGACAGATAAGATTAACAGCAGTTTATGAATCACAAATACAGTCATGCTCTGCTTTATGACAGGGATATGTTCTGAGAAATGTCTTTAGGCAACTTTGCTGTTGTGTGACCATCACAGAATGTACTTACACAAACCTAGATGTTATGGACTACCACATACTTAGACTGCATGATAGAGCCTACTGCTCCTAGACTACAAACATGTACACCATGTCACTGCAAGGAATAGTGCGGGAAACGGAAACACAGTGTTAACTGTTTGTGTGTCCACACATATCTACACATAGAAAAGGTATGGTAAAAATATGGCATGACAGATTAAAAACGGTAAAGAGCACTCACGTGAATGCAGTCTATCAGGACGGTGAAGTTGCTCTGGGTGAGTCAGGGGGTGAGCAGTGAGTGAATGTGAAGCTCTAAGACATCACTGTACACTACTGTGGGCTTTACAAGCACTGTGCCCTGAGGCTACACTAAATCTATTAAAAATATTCTTCTTTCTTCAATAACAAATTAACCTTAGCATACTCTTTTTACTTTACAAACTTCTAAACTGTTTTAAACTTTTTGACTCTTTTGCAATAAAACTTAGCTTAAAATACATGTTGTGGGACAAATGTGGACACTGTTGGGCAGTTATAAAAAATTATTTTCTTTATATCTTTATTCTATAAACTTTGTTTTCTTCCTTTTTTTTGAGATAGTGTCTTACTCTGTTGTCCAGGAGGGAGTGCAGTGGCGCGATCATGGCTAAGGGCAGCCTTGGTCTTCCGGGCTCAAGAGATCCTCCTACCTCAGCCTCCCAGGTAGCTGGGACTAGAGGTGTGCACCACTACACCCAGCTAATTAAAACACTTTTGTTTTGTAGAGACAGGGTCCCACTATGTTGCCCGGCGGGCCTCAAACTCCTGGGCCCAAGCAATCCTCTTGCCCCAGCCTCCCAAAGTGCTGGGATCACAGGCCTGAGCCACTGACCTTGGCCCCTTATTTTGGATTAAAAAAAAATTTAACTTTTTTAACTTGTTTGTTAAAAATTAAAGACACAGGACAGACTGGGCAACACAATGAGACCCCTTCTCTACAATTTTATTTTTCCCCCAAGACGCAGTTTCACTCTTTTGCCCAGGCTTGAGTGCAGTGGCACAATCTCAGCTCGCTGCAACCTCCGCCTTCTGGTTTCAAGCGATTCTCCTGCCTCAGTCTCCCGAGTAGCTGACGCCTGCCACTATGCCTAGCTTATTTTTGTACTTTTAGTAGAGACGGGGGTTTCACTATGTTAGCCATGGTCTCAAACTCCTGACCTCGTGATCTGCCCACCTCGGCCTCCCAAAGTGCTGGGATTACAGGTTTGAGCCACCACATCTGGCCTCTACAAAAAATGTTTAAAAATCAGCCGGGTGCAGTGACTCACACGTAGTCCCAGCTGTTTGTGGGGGCTGAGGTGAGAGGATTACTTAAGCCCAGCAGGCTGATCATGGCTGTAGTAAGCCATGATCGTGCCACTGCACTCCAACCTGGGCAACAGAGCAAGACTCCGTCTCAAAGAAAAAACAAAAAGACAAAAACAAAAACAAAAAAGAACAGGAGAGAGGGAGAGGTATGACCTGGTCTCTGGATGACGATGTGTTGACTGGCTTATCTGAATACTATTGGAATATTGGAAGCTGGCAGGGAACTGGAGTCTACTACTCAGCAAGGAGCAGGAGTTGTGTGCCTGGTCCCTGTGGTATGAGGGGTTGTTTGGCTAGGAGACTTCATCTGAGGGAGCAGAGTTGGGAGGAGGGACTCTCGGTTAGGCCATTTGAGGCTCCCCCTATTTCAGATGTCACAACATGACATAACACTGAATCTTAAATTTAGGTCTTATACCACAGTTGTTCCATATATTTTGGATCTGGGTACCAGAACTCAAATATATTTCAGTTTTAATCACATGTAACTGACACAGTGATATTACATAGCACACATAAAAATGCTACCATAACCCATGTTAGCTGGGAATGCTTCACAGTTACTTTTAAAAAGCTCTATGAACTCAGCAATCTCCAGTGTCTTCTCCTTTCTTCAGCATGATGAACAACTGCTAGAACTCCACCTACCAGCTGTAGTAACTGGGCGGCACAGAGGTGAACTTTCCAGCCTTGAGCACGACAGGATACTCCTTTCTGATTAGCTATTTCCTGCAGCATAGCTTTCTTCTCCTCTGGAACCATAAAAAACAAAAATATGTGTATTTCAGTGTTTAAAAAGGTAAATGATTTGTGTTCAAGCAGTGTAAATGCCATTATTTTAATAAGAATTTTGTTATGTTTTTGAGACAATGGTACAATCTCGGCTCACCGCAACCTTCGCCTCCTAGGCTCAAACGATTCTCCCATTTCAGCCTCCCAAGTAGCTGGGACTACAGGTGTGCGCCACCACGCTGGGCTCACTTTTGTGTTTTTTGTAGGGATGGGGTCTTGCTATGTTGACCAGGTTGGTCTTGAATTCCTGGGCTCAAGCAATTTGCCTGCCTTGGCCTCCCAAAGTTTTGGGATTACAGGCATGAACTGCCGTACCCGGCCATAAGAACTTCTTTCTTTGAGGTAATGGTTTCATGTAGGAGAGGTAAACCAAGAGGACTCCAGGCTGCTTACTCCCCTCCTTCCCCTCCACTAAGTGCTACCTCCTAAAGCAGGGCTGTCACTCAGAGAGAAGCTTGCCACATGTCAAGCCGGGGCCTCCCCCATCTCCAAGGCCCTGGCTCAAACATTTGGCCGGAAGACGTGGGCTGTAAAACAGATGCCTTCTAACTTCTTCCTGAAGGAAGTGAGTCCATTTGCAAGAGTGTGAAGAAGTTCAAACCTAAAGGTGCTCCTGAGAGCAGTGGAGGCTGTGGTGAAGGGAATTGCGGGAGATTTGTGGAACTAATGAAGATGTAGCCTAGACCTTGTGCAGGCTGGTTTGAAGGAAAGAACAAAGCATAAGAGGTGCTGGGATTACAAGAGGGAGCCTTTCCAAGGGCAGAACAACTTTATCAAATCAAGAAAGAACTCTTCTTTTTCTGTTTCGAACACTGTTTATCATGAAAAGGTGTTTAGGCCGGGCGCGGTGGCTCAAGCCTGTAATCCCAGCACTTTGGGAGGCCGAGACGGGCGGATCACGAGGTCAGGAGATCGAGACCATCCTGGCTAACACAGTGAAACCCCGTCTCTACTAAAAGATACAAAAAACTAGCCGGGCGAGGTGGCGGGCGCCTGTAGTCCCAGCTACTCCGGAGGCTGAGGCAGGAGAATGGCGTAAACCCAGGAGGCGGAGGTTGCAGTGAGCTGAGATCCGGCCACTGCACTCCAGCCCGGGCGACAGAGTGAGACTCTGTCTCAACAAAAAAAAAAAAAAAAAAAAAAAAAAGGGGTTTAATTTTGTCAAATTTTCTCTATTGACTGATACAATCATGTGATTTTTCTTCTTTAGCTTTCGTTGTGGGTTGGCTTTCTTCCCGAAAGATATGTTGAAGTTCCTTGGTACCTGTGACTATAACTACACTAGAATGTAATGTAGGCCGAGCGCAGTGGCTCACACTTGTAATCCCAGCACTTTGGAAGGCTGAGGCAGGTGGATCACTTGAGGTCAGGAATTCGAAACCAGCCTGGCCAACATGGTGAAACCCTGTCTCTACCAAAAATACAAAAAATTAGCTGGGTGTGGTGGTGGGTGCCTGTAATCCCAGCTACTCAGGAGGCTGAGGCACAAGAATTGCTTGAACCCGGGAGGCGGAGGTTGCAGTGAGTTAAGACTGCACCATTGTACTCCAGCCTAGGGGACAGAGCAAGACTCCATTGCAAGAAAAAAAAAAAAAAAAGGTAATTTGGTTAAGAAGTCATACTGGATTAAGGTGAGCTGTAAATGCAGTGACTAGTGCCTGTACAAGGAGAGAGGGAGAGAGAAGTAGAGAGAGAGAGAAAAGGAAGGGGAGAGGAAGAGAGAAAGGAGGATAGGAGAGGCAGAGAGACAGAGAAGAATGCCATTTGAAGACGGAGACAGACTGGAGTGGTGCAGGTGGAAGCCAGGAACACCACAGATTGCCGGCAATCACAAGAAACCAAAGAGGCAAGGGAGGATTCTCCTCTACTGCTTTCACAGCCAGCATGATCCTATCAGACCTTTATTCTGGACTTCCAGCCCCCAGAACCATGAGAGAATAATTCGTACTGTTTTATGCCACCCAGTTCACAGTACTTTGTTATGGCAACCCTAGGAAATTAATAAGGCCAGTTAATAGGGTGAATTACTTTGGCTTTCAAATGTTGAACCAGCTTTGTACAGCAAAAATAAATTCTACTTGGTCAAGGTATATACTGCTGGATTTGATTTGCTAATATTTTATTAATGCATTTTTACATCTATATTCATGAGGAATATCGATCTGTCGTTTTCTATATTTGTACACTCTGGTTTTGATAGTATGAAAATATTGGCTTCATAAAATAAATTTGGAATGTCCTTGCCTACATTTTAAAACACACTGCTGAGAAGTGGATCATTACCTGGTGAGCCAATTATCTTATCAGTATGTAATGTCCCTCTCTGTCTCTAGCAATTTTCTTTCCTCAGAAGTTTACTTTATGTGACATTAATATAGCCACTCCTGCTTTTTTGTAAATTAATTTCATATTGTGTGAATTAATTTCGTATTGTGTGCATGCGTGGTTTTTTTTTTTTTTTGAGACAGAGTCTCACTCTGTCGCCTAGGCTGGAGAGCAGTGGCATGATCTCGGCTCACTGCAAACCTCCACTTCCCGGGGATTCGTGCGATTCTCCTGCTACAGCCTCCTGAAGAGCTGAAATTACAGGTGTGTACAACCATGCCTGGCTAATTTTTATATTTTCAGTAGGGGTGAGGTTTCACCATGTTGGCCAGGCTGGTCTTGAACTCCTGACCTCAGGTGATCCACCCACCTTGGCCTCCCAAAGTGCTGGGATTACAGGTGTCAGTCACCACGCCTGGCTTGCATGTGTTTTTCTAGCCTTTTACTGTCAATCTACCTATGCCACTGTATTCAAAGTGAGTTTCTTGTACACAGCACATACTTGGATTGTGTTTTTTCATTGATTCTGCCAATCTGTGTTTAATTGGTATGTTTAGACTATTTACATTTATGACAATAACTAGTATGTAAGGCTTAGGTCTGCCACATTACTACGTGTTTTCTGTACTTCTTTTCTTTCCTGTGAGGGTTTTTTTTTTTTTTGAGACGGAGTCTGGCTCTGTCGCCCGGGCTGGAGTGCAGTGGCCGGATCTCAGATCACTGCAAGCTCTGCCTCCCGGGTTTACGCCATTCTCCTGCCTCAGCCTCCCAAGTAGCTGGGACTACAGGCGCCCGCCACCTCGCCCGGCTAGTTTTTTGTATTTTTTAGCAGAGACGGGGTTTCACCGTGTTAGCCAGGATGGTCTCGATCTCCTGACCTCGTGATCCGCCCGTCTCGGCCTCCCAAAGTGCTGGGATTACAGGCTTGAGCCACCGCGCCCGGCCTTGAGACAGAGTCTTGCTCTGTCACCCAGGCTGGAGTGTGGGGCAGTGGTGCGATCTTGGCTCACTGCAACCTCTGCCTCCCAGGTTCAAGAGATTCTCCTGCCTCACAGCCTCTGGAGTAGCTGGGATTAAAGGCGCCCGCCATCACGCCTGGCTAATTTTTTTGTATTTTTAGTAGAGACAGGGTTTTACCATGTTGGCCAGGCTGATTTTCAACTCCTGACCTCCAGTGATCCACCCGCCTCAGCCTCCCAAAGTGCTGGGATTACAGGCGTGAGTCACCACGCCTGGCCTCCTGTGAGTTTTAGTCTATCTTCATGTATTTATAGATATAATTTATATGTTATTTTGTAGCTTAGGCAAAATAGTTGCACTAAAGTTTCCTAGTCAAGAGGCACTGTGTAAAGGGGGTTAGTATGAATATAGTGAAACAAAGATTCAGGAATCGTAAAAATTCAGCTGTCAAGTTATCTTTCTTGAGATAGTTTTTGAAGAGCAAGTCCCAATAAACATTTAGACTCTTGTAGTGTGGCTGGAAATGCTACCGAGCAAATTCCTAAATAATTTTTCTATGGAATTCTTGTGGCATGAAGAGCTGTTCAGTGGTTCATATCCTACTTCCACTAAAAGGCAGCACTCCCTGCTCTCTGGAAATCTCATTCTTTCCCAATCTCAGAGCACGCTTGTGAGGAAGAAAAGCTGGGAAATGTAGCTGCCTCTGTACTTCCATTCAGAGACTGAACTGTTAGCTTCTCCACCTCTGCTTAATTAGTCAGTACTCCATCCAAGTGGGACTCACCTCGAGCCTTCAAGAAAACCCTTAGAGCAGTTTCCAAATGGAATGTATGGAAGAGAATGGGAAATGTGACCAATTATCTAGAGGCTCACATTTCTTTGTACATATATTATATCCGAGATTAATGGCACTTAAAGTCCATCAGTAGAAATATTTGCAGGTATTTGCAAAGTACTATCAGCACTTTCAATCATATGTGGGTTTATTAAAAGGTTATTCTCATGTTCTACCAGAACAACAAAACATTCATTGAGGGCTTACCCTAGACCACTCCAAGAGCTTCGTATATATGTTAAACAAAAGATCCTTTGGCAGAAATGCTTACAATGCATGTATATTTTAGCATCTTAGGAACTACTGCGGACTTCACTGTGTTATACAGTAACCCAGTGCAGCTCTTCCACAATGACTCTGGAAGCCACCGGTCTCCTCCATCAGTACTTTGGGAGCTGTTAACACGTGGATTTTACAAAGACCAAGGCTGTCACTTAACCATTAAACTGCAATTCCAATAAATACACACAGCTTGCTAGGGCAAAGGGTAATTTTCTAAGTTTTATATTCTACAGGATATACTTAAACACTGAAGCCTCAAGATTTTGTAACAAAAATTTATGGTTTTTTTGAAACTGGAAAACTGTGGTTCTGTTTTTCTCTTCTATTTTAATTAAGTTTATATCAATTTCATGCATTAATACCAAACATTTCTGGAGAAACTAACCTTTGACCCGGACGTCACTGTACCTCTGAAAGTGGTGGTAAGCAGCTTTCCAGGGGTTCCGATAGTGACGAAGCAAAGTGATGGGGGGTCTTGGACGCACTGGGACATACCTCACACCTTCCTCATCTATTACAGAGAAGACATTAAACAACTTATTAACATTGTCAGCAATCCTCAAAGTTCAATTCCAGTAAGCGGGGCATGAGTGAGGCTGACTATGTAGCGAGCCTCTGGGTGGGACTCTGACTTTACTGGGAAGCGTCATAACACAAGTCAGCCTGTGACCATTACCAATATACTCCTTGGGAGGAGACTTGCGCTTCTCAGCCTTCACCAGAAGACTCTTGGCAGTGGACTTCTCATCGTCAGTGCTGTTTGTCTCCATCATGTCACCTTCTTCTGTCGAGATCACGTGCTGTTGCTTTCGAGGCTTCTTCCTTGGGGAGGCACCAGGTGGTAGGTCACTTGTAGGCATGGACAGGTTGTTTGCCAGCAATGAGAGAGATGGAGACACAGTGTTGGTAGCCAGCGGAGGAACTGCTGTCATAGGAAAAGGAGCACACATAGCTGTAAGAACTCAAACACAACGAAGTGTGACTTCCTTCCTTCCAGCAAAGACAATGATTAAGAAGGCAGCACAGAGCACCAACATTTATTGAGTCTTCCTATGTGTCTGGCACTGTGCTGAGCACTCTGAGTCTTCCTATGTGTCTGGCACTGTGCTGAGCACTCTGAGTCACTGTGCTGAGCACTCTGCGGCTTCCTATGTGTCTGGCACTGTGCTGAGCACTCTGCGGCTTCCTATGTGCCTGGCACTGTGCTAAGCACTCTGAGTCTTCCTATGTGTCTGGCACTGTGCTGAGCACTCTGCGGCTTCCTATGTGTCCGGCACTGTGCTGAGCACTCTGAGTCTTCCTATGGATCTGGCACTGTGCTGAGCACTCTGCGGCTTCCTATGTGTCTGGCACTGTGCTGAGCACTCTGAGTCTTCCTATGGATCTGGCACTGTGCTGAGCACTCTGAGTCTTCCTATGTGCCTGGCACTGTGCTGAGCACTCTGAGTCTTCCTATGTGCCTGGCACTGTGCTGAGCACTCTGAGTCTTCCCATGTGCCTGGCACTGTGCTGAGCACTCTGCGGCTTCCTATGTGTCTGGCACTGTGCTGAGCACTCTGAGTCTTCCTATGGATCTGGCACTGTGCTGAGCACTCTGAGTCTTCCTATGTGCCTGGCACTGTGCTGAGCACTCTGAGTCTTCCCATGTGCCTGGCACTGTGCTGAGCACTCTGCGGCTTCCTATGTGTCTGGCACTGTGCTGAGCACTCTGCGGCTTCCTATGTGTCTGGCACTGTGCTGAGCACTCTGCGGCTTCCTATGTGCCTGGCACTGTGCTAAGCACTCTGCGGCAGAAGCTGCAAACTCCTCCCTAGTAGCCCGTATCTTCATCTTCCTTAGTTCCAGGACCTCCCTTTGACAAGGGCACAATAATAGTCAGCTAAAGAATGTACTTCCTAGCCCCCATGACAGGTGTGGTCATCTCAGATGCAAGTAGAAGCATTTTGTAGGGAATTTCCAGGAGGGAGAGAGCGAGCAGGTGTGACCCACTCCTCGTGTTCTTTCTGTGATCCTGGAACTCAGATGAGGTGGCTGCAGCATCCCCAGCTGTCCTGAATCAAGAGCATGAAGGTCAAATCCTACAGGTGGTGGAGCGAAGAGGTGGAAGGCGCCTGGCTTTCTAACAATTTGATGAAGTCCACACACCATCCCTGAACTGTCTGCCTCAGGACTTCTTCCAAAGGAGATAACAGGATCTTATGAGTTAAGCTACCATTTTTCACACTTTTTAAACATAAATGTCTAGCAGGTAACCTATTAACTCATTATCGTAAAAATCATCCTAATAAGTACCCATTATTATTATCCTCCAATTCAGAGATGAGAAAATATGGCACAAGTCACACAAGTATGAAGTGGGCAAGCTGGGACTGACAGAGGCAGTCTGGCTTCAGAGCTCGCACTCTCACCGACCACAGTGTGCTACCTCCAGATAAAAAGATGTGTTGTGAGGACGTAAACATTTGCTTGAGCTTGTATGAATCACACATCCAGGAACTTAAAAATCATGTTAAGGGCTCACCTTAACTCTTGTTTTCACTCTACCCCATACTTGTCCTATTTTCCTCTACCCACTCCGCTGCCCATTCCCGACAGTCATACCCTAAACTTTCCTGTCGCCATTGAATAGAAACTGCCTCACACCCAATCTCAATTTCTAGCATCCAACTCCCCAGGTAAATCCGACTCTCTTTCTAGGTTCTTCCCCTCAGTACTCAGCCTCCAGCACTCCTTAGGCCTACAAGGAACTATCACCTGTTCACCCAACCATGTTCCTGCAGTCACCCACGCCTCTCATGTCTATCCTCCCCCATCGCCAGGTCTGAACCCTATAATCACTGTATTCCTTTTCTTCCTTCATTGTTCCTTCCTTTTCTTGCTTTACTCACTTAGCAAAAGGACAAGAGGTTAAATCCTATTCTCCAACCAGTCTGCACCTATGCAACTGAATGTCGCCAGAGGGCGACACACTACCATGCTGACTGGCCTCACTCGGACAGCCCTCTCTGCTAAGTCCAGTGTTTCTCGCGACGCCTGCTTCACACCTTCCTCTCCTTTAAACACTCAATGCCTCCGCCACCATTTGTACTCTCAGTGGATGGCCTTGCTTTCTATTTTACTGAAAAAGATAGATGCAATCACAAGAACATGTCCATCAAGTCCCACCACCTCATTTCCCCCTCTCCACTGTGGCCCTATATTCTCCTGTTTTCTCCATGCTTTCAGCAAAGGCCAACCTCTTCAGGTACACACAAATCCCACCCACTCTCACCTCCTCAAACAATGCTCCAGGAATTCACAACTTTCTCCTGCATCCTCAATTCTTCTCAGTCTACTGGATCATTCCCATTAACATACAAAACTCTTATTTGTCCCATCTTAAAAAAATCTTCTTGGCCAGGCGTGGTGGCTCACCTAATCCTAGCACTTTGGGAGGCCAAGGCAGGCAGATCACAAGGTCAGGAGTTCAAGACCAGCCTGGCCAACATGGTGAAACCCCATCTCTACTAAAAATACAAAAATCAGCCCAGTGTGGTGGCAGGTGCCTGTAATCCCCACTACTCAGGAGGTTGAGGCAGGAGAATTGCTTGAAACCAGAAGGCGGAGGTTGCAGTGGGCCGAGATCATGCCCCTGCACTCTAGCCTGGGCGAAAGAGCACAACTCCATCTAAAAAAAAAAAAAAAATCTTCTTGACATCATGTCACTTCCAACACCTTTTTTCTCTTCCTTTAGAACAAACGCCTCAAACGTGCTGTTTATATGTAAGGTCTCTATCTCCCCCGGCTTTCTCCTGAACTTGCTCCCAGTCGTGCTTTTACCCCATCATTACACAGAAACTGCTTTTCTCAAGACCTCTGTGACCTCTGTTTGCCAAATCCAAAGGTCACTGCTCAGACCTGATCTTCCTGATCTCTCAAGAGCAGGTGATCCACCTGATCATTCTCTCCTCCCTGAAATATTTGTGTTCTTGCAACTTCCAGGACACCACACACTGTAAGTGATATTCTTACTCTGCGTTCCCTCCATTCAGCCTCCTTTGCTGGACTTTACTTCCTCTCCCATCTCATCATAGCGCACTATCCTAAGACTACATCATGGACTGCTTCTGTCTTTATCAAGATACATTCATTCCCTAGGTGATCTGAACCACTCATCCAGGCTCATGACTTCAAACACAGTTTCTATATATAATGACAACTCTCAAATTTATATCTGCAACTTCATTTTCTATTCCAAAAGCCAGCTCATAGATTCAACTATTTATTTGATGTCTACATTTGAAATGTCTAACTGAAACTTACCCTATCAAAACTAAACTCCTAATCTTTCCCTACAAAACATGGTCCTCCTGCAGGTTTTCCTGATTCAGTCAATGGCAACTCTGTGGCCTCCAATTGCTAAGGCCAAAATCTTGGAAGTTGTCCCAGATACTGTTCTCTCACACTCAACATCCAATCATGAAACACACTTAGCTCTACCTTAAAAACATAAACAGAATCCTACCACCTCACGCTACTTCCACCACTACTGCCCTGGCTGAGCCTTCATTGTTCCTTGCAATTAATGCAACAGCTGCTTGACAGGTCTCCCTGATTCCATCCCTGCTCCCAGAGTCTGTTCTTTCCCCAGCAGCCAGTGTTTATCTTCAGTCCTAAGTGAGCGCTTGGCACTGCTCTGCTCACACTCCCTGCTCTACTCCAACAGCTCCCTGCCAACCCCAGCAAAGCCAAAGCCTTTACAACAGCCTGTGGGCCCTGTTCAACCATGATCTGATCCCGCTGCCACTCCCCTTCTTACTTAGCTCCAGCGACCTTTGGTTCTTTGCTATATTTTGAGCACATCATGCATGCTCCTATCTCCAGATTTTTGTACTTACTGCTCTCTGGCCTGGAATACTCTTTCCCCAGATATCCTCATGGCCAGCAACTTCATTTCTTTAATGTCTCTACTCAATGGTCACTTCCTCAGTGAGGCTTTCTCCTAAAACCTTTATACAAATTCCAGTCCTGGCTACAACTTTCCCCTATATTTCGTCCCTGCTTTGTTTCTCCATAGCACTTATCACCCAAACATACATATACACACACACACACACACACACACACGTAATTTAGTCATCTTTTTATCTTTTGTCTCCCTTGCTAGAATGTAAGATCTAACAGGATAAAGCTGCATTTGTCTAACACAAAGCTGCTTTGTCGTGCCCAGAACAATTCCTGGAATAGACCCCTATAGGTTGAGGTAGGATTATAGGCAGTTCCCTAGCACAGAGAGGTACAGGGAACCAGCCAAAGAAAGCAGATGAGCAGCATAACTGAGGATGCTTTCCTTCCCCTTCTGGATTACTCACGGTATCTTTCAAAGAAAGGGCCAAGGGTAAAAATATCCACAGAAAGAGATTTCATGGCAGAATAAATAGATGAGTAAATAAACAGTAGATTAAAAAAACTATACACACAGCACAATCACAACTATCAGGCAAACAAGATGAGAAAGAAATGGAGGCCTTCTCACTGAAATAGTAGGTAATACTGGATACCAGAGAACAAATAACTTGCTTTCTTCTTTGGGTTTGTTTCTACTTCACACAGTTTGTATACTGAATATGTTACTTTTGTAGGAAAAACAAAATTACACAATAAATTATTTAAAAAAAAAGAAAAGAAAAAAAGAAAACCTCTCAAGTGACTTGACCTTCTCAAACCGCAAGTTTAGAGTTAAGATGAAGTGGTAAAGGGAGAAATGAATTGCTTTAAGATTTTACTAATCACATATAGGCTTTTCAGCAACATAAATCTTACTTGATTGCATAATAAGGCAATGAAACTTGGAAATAAACAGTACTATAGCCACATTGTGACCCCTTTTACATAGTAGCATTTTCTTAATGCATGCAAGGAAACTACATTGAAGGATATCCATGGGGAAATATTAATCTCTTTCATGATTTTGGCCAGAAATTAAACTTAATTACAAAAGGAAAGCAAAGTAGTTTTAGTTTTCACAATGAGTTTATTGCTTTCTTCTATTTATCAAAAACTAATGACATGCAACATCTAAAATGGGTATCAGGGAGTCTCGGCTGAGGGTCATAGAAGAATCTGGATGCTGAAGGAGAATTAGGGAAGGGGAAGAGGCAACTGCCAATGGAGAGTATTCTATGGACGGACTTACCAGAAACTGGCCTCATGATATCCATTGGTTCTACTTCTTCTTTCACTTTAATTTCAGGAACAGGAGGACCCAAGACGGAGGACAGACTGCCACCCACAGTGACTGATGGAGGTGGTGCAGCTGCAATGGTGGTGATGGGTGGAGTGATGGGGACCGCTCCAGGAATGGTTGAAAGGGCAACAGCTGGTTGTGATGGGGGACTGGCTGCTGCAATCATAGTTGGAATGGTCGGTGGAGGCTGCTGGGCAGTTGGAGGGACGGCAATGGTAGGCTGATCATTATTTTGATTGGATACAGTCTCCATGGACACAGTGACGGGAGTGGCCATAGACACGTGGATTTCAGACTTGGGTTTGGCACTAAAACACAAAAGAAAAGCACATGTAGCAAATAAGAAAAAAACTGCCTTCATCTACAACATCTCAGAGGATGGGTATTTGTCCAATTATTTCTGTTCAGCGCACTGCACAATTGATACTCTATGTCTTTTTTAATTTTTAAAAAATTTTGAGACAGGGTCTCACTCTGTTACCCATGCTGGAGTGCAGTGGTGTGATCTTGGCTCACTGCAACCTCTGTCTTCTGGGCTCAAGGGATTCTCCCACCTCATCCTCCCGAGTAGCTGGGACTACAGGTGTGTGCCACCATGCCAGGCTAATTTTTGTATTTTTTGGTGCAGATGGGGTTTCACCATGTTGCCCAGGCTGATCTCTAACTCCTGAGCTCAAGTGATCCGCCTGTCTCGGCCTCCCACAGTGCTGGGATTACAGGTGAGAACCACCACGCCCAGCTTTAATACTCTATTTCTTGACTTTAAAGTTTAACAAAGCAATTTTAAATGTCAATCAGGTTTTAAAAATATACTGTATGTCCTGCTCCCACCCAAGTTTTTGTAAGCAATAATAAAATTAACAAGAAAATAACACTCTAAAGAACTCACTCAAAGTCATATCGTCATAGCACAACCAATTTTCATAATATTAATATACATTTTCCCCCAGAATTCCTTAATATATATGTTGACTTTGGAGTTGTTATTTTTGTTTTTTTTTTTCTTTTTCTTTAACTACAGTTGTAATTGAGAGTGACTGAGGTTGAGCTGATTACTAATGGCCAATGCCTAATCAACCATTCCTGTGTAAATGGAATTTCCATAAAAACTCGAAAAGACTGGATTCAGGAGCTTCTGGGATAGCTAGCACGTGAAAATTCCTGGAGGGGCGTGCCTGGAGAGGTCATGGAAGCTTCACATCCCTTCTCCCAGGCCTTATGTGTCTGTTCCAGTTGGTTGGTCATCTGCATCCTCTGTAATAGCCTTTATGAAAATAGGTTAATGTACATAAAGTGTTTTCCTGAGTTCTGTGTGCTGTTTTAGCAAATTAATCAAAATGCATGGGAACTAGCTGGTCAGAAGAACAAGTAAAACCACCTGGGGCTTGCATTGGGCGTTGAAAGTTTGGTAGTCCTGTGGGACTGAGCCCTCAACCTGTGAGATCTGACACTATCTCCAAGTGTCATAATTGAATTGGAGGACACCCACCTGGTGTCTTTTGCAAATCTGGTCGGTTGGTTGCCGGGGAGAAATCCTCCCCCAGTTCTTACTAACCAGAGGTCACAGAAGTTTCTGTGTTGTTGAGTGAGAGAAGACAAAAACACTGGCTTTTACTCCTGTATTCTCAGATGAGCAACTGTACACTTTGGACTTTTAACCTATAGAAATGAAAATACCGAGTTGGGCACAGTGGCTCTTGCCTAAAAACTCCCAGCAGTTTGGGAAGCTGAGGCAGAAGAATCACCTGGGGCCAGGAGATCGAGACCAGCCTGGGCAATACAGTAAGACCCCATTTCTTAAAAAAAATTTTTTTTAATTAGCCAAGTGCATTGGCATGCACCTGTAGTTCCAGCTACTAAGGAGGCGGAGGCAGGAGAATTACTAGTGCCCAGGAGTCCGAAGCTGCAATGAGCTATAATTGTAACACTGGCACTCCAGCCCAGGCAACAGAGGGACTAGAAGTTCTGGAATAAAAAAATGTAAATGCTGAAAGGCGAAAAAAAAGAAAAAACACTAGAGTCTGAACTGCATATTTGAATAGGCATAAGAAAGAACTGGCTAGGCATGGTGGCTCACGCCTACAATCCCAGTGCTTTGGGAGGCCATGGCAGGAAGATCACTTGAGCCCAGGAATTTGACACCAGCCTAGTGAACATAGGGAAACCCCAACACTACAAAAATACAAACATTAGCTGGGCGTGGTGGTGTGTGCCTATGGTCCTAGCGACTCTGGAGCTGAAGAGCAGGAGGATTGCTTGAACCTGGGAGGCTGAGGCTGCAATGAGTTATGACGGCACCACTGAACTCCAGCCACAACACAGCGAGACCCTGTCTCTTAAAAAAAAAAAAAAGAGAAGATAAATTACAGCAAAATATTAAAACAGTTACATCTGTTTGATTACTATTATTTTCTCTATTTTCCCAGACATTTACAGATTTTCATATTGAGAAGGCTTTAAGATAAATTTGAAGATATCTAGAATGAAAAAGAGAGAAGAGAAAGAGATAGTAAATAAATGAGAGAAAAGATAAAGAAATCAATTCTAGAAGTTCACCTGACAAATAGTTTCCCCCAAAAAAGGGATGAGATGGAAATTGAGTAGCAGAAAACAAATTATGAGAGAAATAATATATTAAGATTTCCCTGTACCGACCAACACAAGTTTTCAGACTGAAGAGACCACTGAGTATCCAGCACATGTAAAAACCACCAACTGGCACAACAAACCACCAAGGCACATGTATATCTATGTAACAAACCTGTACATTCTGTGCACGTATCCCAGAACTTAAAGTATAAAAAAAGGCCGGGCACAGTGGCTCACGCCTGTAATCCCAGCACTTTGGGAGGCTGAGGCAGGAGGATCACGAGGTCAGGAGTTCGAGACCAGCCTGGCCAACATGGTGAAACCCTGTCTCTGTTAAAGATACAAAAAATTAGTGGGGCGCAGTGGTGAGCGCCTGTAATTCCAGCTACTCAGGAGGCTGAAGCAGGAGAATCGCTTGAACCCGGGAGGCAGAGGTTGCAGTGAGCTGAGATCGCGCCACTGCACTCCAGCCTGGGCAACAGGGCGAGACTCTGTCTCAAAAAGCAACCAACCCAAATTCTACTGTCGTTTTTGAACATTGAGAACAAAGATCATTAAAGCGTTCAGAAAGAAATGAACATGTAAGATATAAAGATCAGCACTCAAAAATCGTATCTGGGTTTTCAAAAGTAAAAACAAAATGTAGAAGACAACAGAGTAATACCTTTATATGTATGCCACACTCTCTCTCTCTTATATATGAGAGTGAGACAGATATGAGAGAGAGAGAGAGAAAGAGAGAGAGAGACTCCCTCTCACTGTGTTGCCTAGGCTGGAGTGCAGTGGCATGATCATGGCTCACTGCAGCCTTAAACTCCCAGACTCAGGTGATCCTCGTGCCTCAGCCTCAGTAGCTGGGACTAAAGGTATGTGCCACCATGCTTGACCAGGTTTTGTATTTTTTGTAGAGGCGGAGTTTTGCCATATTGACCGGCTGGTCTCGTACTCCTGGTCTCCTGAAGCTCTGGGGTGAGCCACCACACCCGGCTAATATTTTTAAAGAGCAATGATTTCTCGTCTAAAGTTCTGCCTGCCATTCTATCATTTAAGAGTGAGGAGTTGTGTTTCAGGAATGATGGAGTAGACATACTTTTTCCTATTCCTCCCACAAAGTAGAGCTAAAACTCGGGATTGTTATATATAAACCAAGCGCAACGAGCTGCTGAAAAGTGAGGAGAAAAAGGCACATTGTCTAGGGACCTCAGGACCCAGGAATGGCACGGCAGTCAGTTCCCTGGATTTGCTTGTTGCCTTGTGTGTCCTGGACAGGGCGCTGGAGAAGCTGATAACGTGGACATGCCAAAGAGCAGAGACAAAAAAAGTCCCAAGAAAAGCCTACTCTGTCTAGCCCAAGAACCAACAAAAAGGAGTGGCTTGACATGACGAAAATCCTGTAGACAATAATTGCTCTACTCCAGTGAAACGTCACAGAAACAACTGCGGCCTTGGCAAAGGCTGAGAAGAGTCTAGACTTCCCTGGCCAGGTTGTAATGAGGGGCCTCAATCTCCTCCCCATCCCACTACTCATGCAGTATCATCAGAGGCCAACCGGGAACCTGGCCTTCACTGATCACCCGGCAGTAACAAGGCAATGCCCCCTCTTCCCTGCTGGGGTAGTTCGAGAGGAGGCCTGCTAAAGTATAACCTATACATAAATCCAGTCTTATAATTTAACACTTAAAATGTCCAGTTCCAAACAGAAAATCACTCATCAAGAAACAGGAAAATCACAACTTGAATAAGACAAGAGATGAATGATAAAAGAATTATCTGACAAGGACTTTAAAGCAGGTATTATAAATATGTGTTATTATGCAATTATAAATTCACTTGAAATGAATGAAAAAAATAGAAAAATCTTAGTAAAAAAAATCAAAGTTATAAAAATTTTGGAACCAAATAGAAATTAAAGAAATAAAAAATATAATAACTGAAATAAGACGGCCTTGCTGTGTTGGCGAGGTCTTCACAGGCATGATCATTGAGCACCACAGCCTCCAACTCTTGGCCTCAAATGATCCTCCCTCCTCAGCCTCCTGAGTAGCTGGGACTATACACGTAAGAGCCATTGCATCTGCCTTAGAATCAGTGAGGCCGAAGACAGATCAGTATAATTAGCCTAATCTGAACAATACAAAGAAAACAGACTGAAGAGTGTGGATAGAATAAAGATGTTTTCTGATATGCCAAGTATCAAAAACTGACATCTTGGGCATTCTGTCATTACTACTGAAGAGGTGCTCTTACAAATCAAGGGGGTAAATCAAGAAGAAGGAAGCATACAGGCTCCGGCTGACAAGGTGTAGGGAATTCAGAGCCTGGCGGAGAGAAGAGGCACCAGGAACAACAGCTGGGCACCGAGACCAGGCAGGCACCCATACAGACTGGGGCAGGCAGAAGCAGGGCTTCAGGGAGGGATGTGATCAAGAAAAAGCACAAATGACAGAGATCTGACAGGTTTAACTCATTTAGAGCAGTTCTGTAGGTTTGGTGGAAAGTTCGAAGATGAACTAGTGATACCTGGAAAAACCTACACAAACATTATAAGCCTTGGAGTATGACACGACTTAAACAAATTAAACTTACTTATATTGACAGCTATTGGATTTCCTTTTTAAATCTGTTTTATAGTTTTCAATATCTTAATTTTCCTTTAAAGTTTTTTTGTTTTGAATTAATAATACATTCACATGTTTCAAACGATATATGGAGAAAGCTC